CAATCAGAGTCTCATCTCCCATTCCCTTTAAGAGCCAGTTGCGCTCGTGCCATGGCGGATTCGCTATTTACACGGCTGAATTTGCAAGCGCAAAGACAGAACGCGTCTCAAGAGAGGAAACGGAGCTGCTTGTGCGCGAGCAAATAGGTAGCCTAATTCTGATACATGCAATGACTATCCATTATGACGTGTAGGCATTTTTATATTTATGTAGCCTACGCAATAATAATCTTTTATATTGCAATCCTTTAATTTTTAATATTTGACATCCCAGCAAGCAATTTTGCGTTTAAAAGACGTCTATTAGACGTCTAAATATAGCCTAGACGTCTAGGCTAAAACGAGGCTAAATTTGGGCTGTCAGTGAAAATCTAATAGACGTCTAATCATAGCCCATTTATAGACTAGTCATCAATTAGATGGCTATTAAACGACTACATATATACGTCTAATAGACGGTGAATATGGGTCTAGGCTAAAACGAGGCTAAATTTGGGCTGTCAGTGAAAATCTAATAGACGTCTAATCATAGCCCATTTATAGACTAGTCATCAAATAGACGGCTATTAAACGACTACATATATACGTCTAATAGACGGTGTATATGCGTCTAGGCTAAAACAAGGCTAAATTTGGGCTGTCAGTGAAAATCTAATAGACGTCTAATCATAGCCCATTTATAGACTAGTCATCAATTAGATGGCTATTAAACGACTACATATATACGTCTAATAGACAACAAAATGGCAATCCATCCATACAGCTTTTATTAAGAAAAATAACATTTAAAAATAACAATAACATAAAACACCATTCAGTGTGTTAAAAAAGAGAGAAGCTCTCTGGTAAATGTTGTGTGTTTTATACACATACCTCTAATGACCGAGAACAGTGCAGTCTTTTCAAATGCCTCTTTCTGCAGCGGACCACCCCCCTTCATGTTGAATTTGGACATGAGGGAATTTTTTTAAAACCCTAAAATATAATACAGATTGAGGTGGTTAACAATTGCAGACAAAGTTTGACATTTCAAAATGACCAGTAAAGGAATTCTTTTTTAAATTTCTGATTTGCGTTGTAACTTATTGAGTATTGACACCACAATGTTTGATTAATGTGGCAAGATTTGTAGGCTTTACCTGTCCAGCATCCTTCTGTAACTGTCTTTGAGGTTTCTTCCTTCAACTCTGCACAACTTTGACACCTGAATAACACATGCCAATGTCAGGCGGGTAGTATTATATGCGTCCGTGTACACGTGTTTACCAACCTTAAACACTGATGCCCATTGACCTGCAAG